GTCCCAAAAAGGTCTTAGCTCAAAATGTCCCAGGAGCATCTGCCGGAAGCCTTCACCACCTGTAACAAAGAGGCAGAGGAGGGTCGGTCCCAGAGAACCAGTGATTACTACAGAGTTAATGACCATTTGCCAGCCAGGTTCAACCACCCAGGATGGTTTCGGGGCTACAGGTGAGGGGAAGCTGATACAACTTGTGATATGAGCAAAAGCAGCATGCTGAGAGAGAGGGAGGGGTTCATGGTGCACCCAGAGGTTGCCACACTTTGCAACAATGACCTGAGATCCTGTGAAGTCATCATGACCTCTGCAAGATTGTGAAAATGATACCCATTTTAAGGCCCGAAAGGCCTCTGGGATGTCCCCCATTACCTACAGCCAGATTAGCCATCATGGCCAGAGGTCCCAAGTGCGCTTTGCTCCATCTTCATTCAAGCCCCAGCTCTCCAGAGTCAAGCATGAACAGAATTGTCCTTGTTCTTAAATTCCTCCAGGATCCTTGTCTTGCTGTTTCCTCAGCAGACATTTCCTCTCTGCCCCATCAGTCTCACTGCTGGTGACGAGAGGACATGCGAGGTGGATTCATAGTAGCAGGAGACAGGTACGTCTACAGTACGAAATTATTTCAAAATTATTCTATTTGAATTTTCGGATAGTATCAGGAGAAAGGCGGTGCACCGTCTGCTGGCAGTATGGTGTCTGCCGTAGCTTTCACGGAGGGAGGGGCGAGTGACGACACACACCTAGAAACACCTGTGTGAATGTTTTTGCCCCATCATGCACTGGGAGCTTAACCCAGAATTCCAATGGGCGGCAGGGACTGCGGGAACTGTGGACTGCTCCAGCATTCATTCGATGCTAGCCTCGGTACTGTGGACACACGCCGCCAAATTCACGCGCTTTAGTAGGGACACACAAGACCGAATGTATAAAATCGCTTCCGAAAATTCAAATAATTTCGAAATAATTTCGTACTGTAGACGTACCCTTAGAAATGCCTTCTCATCTCTCCCCACCTTATCCATTCCCCATCTCATCCCAAAAAGCATCTTTTCCTTTGTCTGCACTTCTTAATGTCCATCTGTTACTGTAACTTATCTCCATAAACTGTACTATTTAACTCTGTAGAGTGCTGTGGGATACAGTTTGTATGAAAGAAACCATACCAAGTAAAATTACATTCTATTGTGTAGAACGAATGAGCCCCATCCAAGGTACAGGACCACCAACCAGATCTATGGAAGCAAAGCGCCTACTGTACATGAAATGCCAGTAAGTATATGCAGCACAAGGCTAATTACAGTGTGTATCAATCTTACCTTTTAAGTGAACTCTAGGTACCTGTTGAGGAATAAGTTATTTGCTTTATCTGTAGGAGTACTTTAAAAAAATACTCAGCTACGCTTTTTGCTTTGTTCCTTTAAAAAAATATCAATTCACTTCAGGCTAATTCATTACCTTCCTTACAGGAGTATCTACGGTTTGCAGTATTTTAAAATGCATATATTATCCTGCAGGCACTGTTTACTCACCCTCCTCTGCCCAGAAATCGCCTTTTCTTGGCATGAGCAAACTGGGTAGGGAAACAGTACGTGTGTGGCACAGCCAACCAGAATACAGGCACAGAATACTGAAAAGTAGTCAAGGGAAATTGGCAAGGGGGAATTCTGATGTTCAGAATTTATTTTACCCTTATACCTTTTGTTAAATTTAAGGGTTTTTGATGGTGGCCAGCAGTGGTTCAAATTTAGGTCTCCTGTATAAGACCCAATAGGCGAATTTTTCAATTGCTATTCAATTTTGCATTTCATGTTGCCATGCCAGCAACTTACAAAGGAAGGAAAATTACAGTAATATAATTCATGAAAAAACTGAGGGGCACCATAGTTCTATTTTCATATTGTAGGTCTCAGCAGATCTTTGAAATCAGAAGGTGGGATTTTCAGAAGCCTGTAAATGACTTTCAGTGAGACACGTGCTCTCATGTCACTTAGGGGCTTTTGAAAAATCCCACCCAGAAGCTTTGGTATCTCCAAGCAGTGAATTTTACAGTATAGGAGGGTTAGAAAGAAAAGACGCAGTAGTTTAAAAGGGGGCAGATGCACTGATCTAGAATCTCTTTGGAAACACACTGGAGTAGGATCAATGATTTTTTAATTGGACACAATATATTCCCCTCCTAAATAAACAAAAAGAGTTAGTCTCTGGCAACTTGTGGCTGAAGTCTGATGCCAAAGAGAACAAGGTGTTTACTCACAAACACCCCCACAAACAATTATACTACTACTACTACGTAAAAAAAAAAAAAAAAAAAAATCAGAAAAACCGAGGTGGAACATAGGGATTGCCAAAGTGAAAAAATAAACTATAACCAAAACCACACACAGGGAAATGTGTGATGATCAATGCCTGAAGCTTCAGAAGGTGGCCCTAGTTCTTCTCCCCACTCACACATAGTATACCTTTCTGCGATAGAAGAATTAATACACTATGTAAGAATTTCAGTTTTTGAATTTAGCTGAAGTTGGTGTAACATCTCTGGCCTGCTCCACTCATGTGCTGCAGAAACCAGCACCCTTGCAGCAAAATTTAGGACAAGTTTCCTAGACTACAAAGCCCTTGATTAAAAATACGCAAACAATGGGTGGATGTGTAGGTGTTTTTTTTCCTGACCATGGCTGGTGTTTGGTTCATGCTTTGAAGCATGAAGATTTAGAGCCCTTGTAATTATACCCTAGCTCTTGTAAAACACAGAGATGCTATTCATATGGGTATCTAAAATATTTCCTCTTGCTTTTCTCCCCCACAGACCTCCTTTAACATTACCTCACATGCATTTTCAAAACATCTTGGAAAGTGTGGCATGTATAGGAATAAAGGGCTCAACACCTACATGGAGAAAAGTGATGTGACTGGCATAGATAACCTTATCACCTTCTACGACAGACTCAACTTTCACCCCAGTTACAATGGCAGTGGGCCATCCCACTGTGAATAATGTTTCAGCCATAATGTCTGCAGTATGACACCTGTTCTTCAGTTTACTGTCTACTGCCTGGTTAAAAAAATCAAACAAGCAAACAATAGCATTGACATTTCCTTAGGATTTCTGCTTCTCTCCTAAATCAGCTCCTAAGACTCTCTTTGAAAGCATGACTGGAAACAGTGCACTCCTGCACTGAGTGATGTTAAATATACTTCCGTCTGCCACGTTAGCTTGCAGGATGATTCACCACAACAAACACAGGCTTCTGTTACAATAATGCTACATGCCATTAAAGCATCATTAAGCTGCAATGGGAACCTTGTATTATAATGTCTGACTTTAGGTTATCTTGCTGAAGGAGAGCCTAGATCCAATGTTAGCATGACATAGTAGGAAAGGTCATGAAAACAGAATAAAATGGGTAACTGAGACAGGACGACATCGCTGTCATTGAGAGAGTAATAAGAGCAAAATGTTGCTTTAGAGCAGGTGTGTTAATAAAGAAAAAAAATCCGGAAAAATGTTTGTTGTTTTCTTAAAATGCCTGTGAACATAAGTGAATTTAATGCTTGTTAAACATAAATGGATGGCTCCACTCTACAGTACAGCACAGGCAGTCAGCACACACACTTTCCCATGCCACGCTGCCCTGCCAGTGTGCCTCAGGAATGCCCAGCAAACACCACTGCTGGGTATGTCAGAGAAGTTCTACGGCCCACTCCTATCTTGGGTCTCTGCTAAGATTGCCAAGTAAGGGCTACACTTATTCATAGATTCCAGGGTTAGAAGGGACCATTGTGATCATCTAGTCTGACTTCCTGTAGAACAGGCCACAGAACTTCCTCAAAACAATTCCTAGAGCAGATCTTTTAGCAAAACATCCAATCTTGATTTAAATCCATCAGGGCCTTGGTAAATTGCTCCAATGGTTAATTACCTTCACTGTTAGAAATTTACACCTTATTTCCTGTCTGAATTTGTCTAGTTTCAACTTCCAGTGAGCCATCTTTCTCTGCTACGTTGAAGAGCCCATTATCTGCATTTGTTCCCAATGAAGGTACTTATAGACTGTGATCACATCACCCCTTAATCCTCTCTCTGCTAAGATAAATAAATTGAGCTTTCTCAGTCTATCACTATACAACATATTTTTTAACCCTTTAATCATTCTCATGGCTCTTCTCTCTCCAATTTGTCAACATCCAAGACTTACTGACAATCAACATTAAAGGTCCACAGTGCTCGTTGGCCAGCTCTTTCAAAACTCTTGGATGCAAGTAATCTGAACCTACTGATTTATAATTGTCTAACTTTAGTAGCTTCTGGTTAACATACTTAGTTACTGCTGGAGTAGAAATATATCATCATCATCATCTGATATGAATAATCATCAGTTTTTTCGCTAAAATAGAACAGACATTTATTGAACACAATCTGTACCAGTTACAATGGTGACTTCTGTGACATAGACTCTTGTCTACTGCAAGAAACAGTAGTTTAAATGGTACCAATAACTTGAGCTGATACCGCTTAGAAGAATAGAAGTACATAAACTGGCCGTAAAATAATTCCTACAGTAGCAGATTAACAAAAATGCTCCAACATATTAACCTTAAAAGTCAAATCTTGTCCTGTTAAACTATGTTTTTCCCACTGCTTTTTACCTTGCTTGATAACAGGACATTTCCTATGAGGATTTGACAAAGCAACTACAAAATTAAGAGTTTTAAGGTGGAATTGTGTTCATAAAGCTGAGAAAAGATGTCATGAGGGAAATTTGTTTGAGAGAGACTGTCAAGTAGCTAAACCCTCAAATTTAGGTTTGGAGATACAAAAATTTTAAAGAAATTTCATTGTAAACAGTTTCAATAGCTTCTGTCTAGGAAACACAAACATGTTTCACCATGGAACTGGAAAAAATCACTATAGAATTTCAAGAATAAACTTTTATTAGAAAAAAAGACATCCATTAACACACATTTATTATGGTTAAGTGATATTCAGGTGTTCAGGTAGAAATCCTTGCTAAACCCCTTCCAGTCAACATATAGTTACTTATAATTAAGTGGTAGTTCAGTTAACATAGCTTACAACAAAGATCTACATATACTTAATAGGCTTTTCTTCAATCACAAGTGATCCTTTCAACTCTTGGCTCATGTACTGCATGGTACTAAAGGATGAATGAATTTTTGAATCTTTGTTTCTATGTTGTTTAGAATCTGACCAGGATATCTCAAGATCCATGTTTTCCCAAAGATATTAACCCTTTAAATAGTATTGTTAACTAATTTGTTGTAGAACATTTGTTATTCCTTCCTGTCTCAAGACTATAATTTCTTAATGAATTATTCAAACAAGGGCAATGAATCCTAGAGAAATATTTTCTAAAGTTTTATTGCAACAAATGCAGTTATACAACCAATGAAACTGTGTCATTTTATATAACTCACACTCCACTGCAGTTCTAACTGTGCAATGTATTTCCACTTATAGGTCTCAAGAACTTTGTTTATGGAGGAGACACTATCCTAGTTTAACAGTGCAACACACTGGTAATATATAACTAAAAGCTATGAAAAATTTCCAGCAGCTGGCTGAAAATAATATTTGGTATAATAGATGAGATGTGTCCAGGTAATACTGCAACCTATATTTTTCATAACATTTTCTTAAGAAAACTTCAGTCTGACATGGATCATTTTTATACTGTCTTATAAAACCAAATGGATCAAGCATGACAGGGCGAAGTTTTCAAAAATGCAAGAAAGGCAAGGTTACTTTACTAGTTAACAAGATCAATAATGAAACTGAATAGTAAGTCTAATAAAGGCATGAACACAGAATAAACAAATACAAATATATGGTGCCTGATCTAAAACCTATTGTAGTTCCCAAAGACTTTTGGAGGAGGCCCATGGTGTAGTTCCACTATTACACCACACAATATTTGGTGATCTCAAATACAGAAATACCGAGCAGAATTCTGCCTTCATTTATAACCTGTCAATGCGGTTGAACAAGTATAATAAAGCAAGGGCTGAAATTCACCCAAAGGGTTTATATTTTCAATATCTATCACATGGCTTCCAAAGAAAAACCGAAGTAATTTAGAAAAAAAAATCAGCCCTCTGCTTTCTCATTTACCACTTCTCTTCTAGGACTTCAGGGCATGTCTTCATTTCCTCCATTGTTTCCAATTCTTTGCCTGAAATACAAAGTCAACACAGTGCAGAATAAATAAGAAACAGTTCAGGCAATTTTACACAATTTTACTATTCCGTCCACTTTTTCTACCGATGAGATTAGTTTACAGAGAGGACTGCCTCTTTTTAGAAAACTACTCACATTTACCTGCCCATATCTCTCCACCACATACTTTCTCCACCATTTTTAAAATCTCACCTAAAAAAAAAATCGTCTCTCTTATGCCTAATCCTCTTCCCTGGTTTTGATATTTGAGCTGAATGCTTCACTTTGTTACATATGGTTTATCTCACAATCTTCCACAACAGGCTGCCTTGCATAATTTAACTTTGTAGCACATTTGGGGATACAGTTTGTATTAAAGATGCTATGCAAAATAAAGTAATATTGCACAGAACTGTATTTGTGTATCATTATAAAGAGCTGAAACACACCCCCACACCACTTTTAGATGAAATAATACAAGTTGCACAACTAAACTCATCCCTCCTTTTAGGAAACAAAGTGATTATTCCATCATTTTTAGAATCAAACATCACCATGACCTGGGTATTTGGATAATATTCATGCTAACTGGTAAAACTTCTAACTGTCGTGGGAAAAGCCTTGAATAGCTGTTTTAAACAGCAGATGAGCTACAAAATTGCCTGCAGAAAGCCTACTAGCTGGTCTAAAAACTACGGGTGGTGTCATAGTGAAGTGCAGTACATACATTATTTTGTTATTTCCATTGCTTTTCAACCCTGAGAAACAAGTCAGGCTTCTTTTCTTTTTTTTTCTTTTTTTTTTGCCTTCAAACATGCAGCACACTTTCTGAAAGCACCAAAAAACAAAGCAAAACAAATAACCCCCACCATTCCTAGATTAAACATACCAACATGATTTAGGGGGGGGGAAAGTCTTTCCATAGGGTTATCAAGAAAATTGCCCATACTAAAAGAGAGTGTTAGGACATTTGATTTTTTTCCCTAGGTATTTACACAGGTTTTAGTCTAAAAAATTTACACTGTATTTGAGTATTTATCACAGGGATGCTGTTGATATGCTTAGTCCTAAGCTAAGATGTTGATGTCAGATGTTGTAAATTTACATTTTCTCTAAGTGTGACTAATCCAGAATTTATTAGTATAACATTTTTTCAGCCTCTGGAAACACTTGTTCCAAACATTTTAAGACAACCCTTCATTCCCTCTCCACCCCCACCAGACAAATATTACAAATCTCTTTGCCTAGTTATTTTTAATGAGCCCATCAGTGTTGTATCAGAGTTTGAAATATAGCGAACACTTAACCTTTACCAGTTTTAGATGAATGGAGTACTGGTGAAAAGTGCTGTATTCACAGCTTTGGGGACTGTAATCCTCTGTTTAGTAGCAGAGCAGGTAAAGAATAGACAGTGCAGGCATAAACATGTACTTTCTTCCTGACCTGGAGGAACCTCTATGGTCCCATCTAATTCTTGACCTCTCTACTGAGACTGCCAAGAAAGGCGCTAATTAATGCCATTTGAAGTGGTGGCTTTATTAATGGGGACATCTGTACACTGGGAATGGGACTGAGACTTGTCAAATTCATTGCACACAGGTCACCAGGCCGTTGTTAGATACAAGCAACTTAAAATCACAGCTGACCTAGAGGTGAAAGCCTCCATTATCTTATTACAAATCCTCCAGATTATCCAGTCCACATACAATGTATATCATGGTCAACACAGGACTTCTGCATTTAGGATATGTGTATGAACAATGGTTCTCTCTCCTTGCATCTGCATGCTGCATAAATGCTTCAGTGTAGTCTGCTCTTAAAATTGTGCATTAAGTAAGGTAAAGAGGAGGCTTTTCTACAATGATGGCCTGGTCCATTCTAACCAGAAAAAGGCCCCTACAGATGATTCCTGCTAGGATCAATTTATATGGAGCATTAAGTATAAGATAAAGTATACTTAGTAAGCTCCAGAGAAGATCCATGGCAATGAATAGGCCCTCAATATGTTTAAATATTTTAAACTTTGGGACCCCGAGGATTAAAAAATGAGGCACTCAAAAAAAAAAAAAAAAAAAGAATCTACCTGGAATTCTCTCCTTCCATTCTGGATTTTTAAAGTAAGATTTTTACATAGCTGTGTTGGAGATAAAGTTATATAAGGTTGTATTGTCAATCCAGGATCAATAGAGGTTCTTAAAGAACTGGAAAATAACAACAACAAAAAATATGCATCAGTAGGCAAAGTGGAACAGATCTGCATTATAATCACTTCTGCTTTAGGCATCAAAAATATATATATTTTAAATTGCTTAAAACCTACATTAGCAGAATTTATGCACAGAGTTAAAAATCACAAATAATTACATTTTAAAATAAGACAGTGGATGATTTTAAAGTAAGTCATTTTCTCCTTTACTTACCTGCTAAGATCTGAGTTTGTCTACTGCAGAGGAAATATGGAACAGTAAAAGGCTAACACCAACCTCTAAAGGAAGTTTGGAGTCACTGTAACTACAGGACATGCACTGCAGGGGCATGCCAGTGCACCTTCAACCATCACCTGGAGGTGTCACAGGTAGGGTCAAGAGGGTTAGTCTAGCTCCATACCTTTTCAATCATTGGCTTCTTTGACGAGTGCCAATAAGGCATTCCTCAGTACAAAGAAAGCAGAAGCTCAAACCATTTTGGTATTGTGCCTAAGACGACATTTCCTTGTACGAAGGGGTCAGGCAGATCTCTTTTGTGATCCCAAAGCAGGTTCTGGATGAAGCTTAAATCCACATAAATTCACAGAGTCACTGACTCAGTTAATGTAGTGCTACTATTCCTGAACTGGGCAGCCTTTAGTCTATTAGTTTCATATTGATTGTTTATTGTTCCAAAGACTCAGGCTTTATTTTCTTGACTTAGTGAATGGCTGATGAGAATGGTGTCCAGAATGATGCTGTTGCAAACACAGCATGGGAAGAAGCCTGGCAACAGCCTGCGTATGGCTGTGGTGCCAACACTGAAGGTGACGTGTAGTGTTTAGAATAAAGTGCCCTGTGGACAGTTTGCTTCTCTGACTAGTGAGCAATTCTAAGGGGATGAAGTTTGAAAAATTCAGGAGAAGCATCAAAGCAATCTAGGGAGGTATCCGTAAGGCACACATTATGACAGAAACATCAGGGAAGACTGGTTGGGTCACATACCAAAATGCAACCTCAGGCCACAATAGACAAACTTCTGCCACGTGCAGAATATCTTTAATCCCCAACCACCCTCCTCCCAATATAGTCTCAAACCCCAGCCATCCACACCCCAGTGTAAGCCGGAAACCATTCGCCGCCTCCTCTCCCAGTGCAGGCAGACAACCACCCACACTGCCTCCAATCCTCAGCACTGGTCCTGGGTGCTGTAAAGAGTGTATACTGGTCCTGGATACTGGAGAAGTGGTGCTGGGTAAGAGTGAGTGCTGCTGATCCTGGAAGGTGGGGGTTAGTGGTGCCCAAGTACCTTAGTGAAGTCTCTACAAATGCTTTCCATCTCCAATCCCACTATCTCCTGCTGACCTCTGCCTACCTCCCAAGAGAGCAAAAATAATGCTCCTGCAAAGCAGTCTTCAGAAGCTGCTACGGCAAGCTGAGGAAAGATCCCACTCCTTGTCCACAAGCTTAGGGGAAGAAAGGTGCCGACTATTACTTCCCTTGCAGCGCTGGAGCATCTGGCAACCCAGATCTCAGTGCAATTGGGAGCCATTAGAACTTCTAGATTGACAGACCCCTTTTTTCACGTCACTCATGAAATTCTACAAACTACATTCTAGTCACACTTCTTCTTATAGCTTCGTAGGTTCTCCTCTGGCTCTCTTTATTGTTACTAGGAATTTTTCACTCTACATAGAACCCAGAACTTTTAAAATCTGTTCCTGCTTCTTCTTCCCACTGGAAACCAGACTCCTGGTGTCATAGCCACAGAATTATGATTTCAGATAAGATGTGTACAGAAGTGGGAGGAGACAATAAGCAGCAGGAGCAGATGAATGTTTAGGGCCTCTGATCTTGCTCCCAGTTAAGTCAATGGGAGTTTTGCCATGGTCTTCAAGGGAAGCAGGAGTAAATCTTTTTTTTTTAATCCAGCTGACCCTAGTCACAAAAACTGCTGGCAGTTCTTGACAACTTTGCATTTAAAAAAAAAAAATGGGCAGGGAATAAAAGATTTCATTTTGAATCAATCTTTCGACTCAGGATGTTGATACAAACCACTTGAAATCTTGCTGGTTTCATGGTTCATGATCAGAACCCAATTTATTAATTGTTATAAACTTATGAATTCACACCATTTCTTATATACAAATCAAGTTTTTCAATTTTTAAAAAAGTGCTCTTTAAAAATTAGATTAGTTTAAAGCACAAGTTACAAGGAACTGCATCTTAACTGAAAGTGAATTAGTACATCAAGAAAGGTTTCAACCACATGCACATCAATTGGGGGATGAGACACTTTTTAAATCTTAATGTTGGTTTACTGAAATTTTAATTGAGGAAACACTCAGCCTAGTTTATACAGACAGGGTATATAGTGCTTCCATCATTAAAAACAATTACAGCTTAATCTTATTAAAGCAATATATTTGGAAAACTGCTATTTTAAAATACTAGCTTGCATCCCAATTTCAAACTAAAGACCCCAATCCTGCAATCAGATTCAGGCAGGCAGAACCTTATCCCTGTGCAGACTGATTGCAGGTTTGGGGGCTTAGAATAAAACTTTTTTTCCAGGTGTACTATTACTAAATTAAAATTTGCAGTGACCTGATGTAAATATTTAATCTAAAAATCAAATGTGGTCAGGCAATAAGATGCCAGACAACCACTATTAAAATATTTTTAAGTGTAACTGCACAACAGTATAAAGCACACAAAAGATGTCTAGACATAAAGGTCATTGTTTCTTTTTTTATAACAACATTACTAGTACTACACTATTCTATGCCATAGCCTGTCAATTCTCTGCAAGATCAGAGCACATAGGGGGATGAAATGCAATACTGGATGCATTCTTGACGTCTTTTGCTCTATTCTGGGAAATTAAGGCCAGCCTCAGACAGGCTGTTGAAATAAGAAATAGATGGGTGGTAGATAGAGATTTGGAAGAGGTTAGCCATTTAAAAAGACCAGATTATTACAGAAATGACAAATCAAACCGCTGATACAAAAGATACAGACTGACTTGAAGGGCTTCACTACACACAAACTGAAACAACTTTAAATCAGTTTTAATTCATATATTTTAGTTATTTCAGTGCAAGTCTCTGTGTGGGGATGCTCTTATTCCAACATCAGTGTCCCATTTAAAAAAACAACCTGATTTTTACTCTCGATGGAATGGGGGTGTGAGGGGTGAATGGAGTAGGGACACTGAAAATACCCCAGGATCTCACTCAAACAAAATATTTGCCAGTCAAAGCTTTTAAGGAAGTGTTTACTGTAGCAAGCCTAAGTTTGCTCTATTGCACAAAACAGTAGAAAGGGATCAGATTTTTGCAGAGATGCATTTTATAGAAACCACTGTTAAAAACTAGACACAAGACACTCCAATGCAACATAAAGTTAATTTTGAAGGCCAAAACTCATCATGTAATTGTTGGGCATCAAAATGAGATTAAAGAATGCCTATGGAATTATTTTGGCCTTGGATACTTCAGCAGCATGTAGATCTAGTGCAATCCACTGAAAGAATGTTGTTTGAATGAACATATAGAAGCAAAAAGCCGCTTCACTTTACTGAACTGCAATTGTGCTTTGAAGCATCTGCTTACAGGAGGTTATCAGAATGTTTGGCAGATAAAAAGGACTCAGCAGTCCCAGAGTTGAAGCAGGAAGCCCTTAAAAGACTGCTCCACACCATGTCCCTGAACTTGCAATTGAATCTATAGGGACAGACCCCTGCATCTGCATGGAGCTACATTGACTTCAGTGGCCCTGTGTTAGTTACAGTAGTCCAGCAGAGCAGTTCTAATTTCAAGATGGGGACCCAAGTGGAAAATGGCTACATGAGGCTGTTCTAACATAGTTCCAATTCCATGAAATGTCAGAGAATGTGCTTCAGTATCTGTAATATTCCTAATCAGCTGCTGTTGTTTTCTAAGCTCTCTGAGCAACTGGCCAATACATTGTGGACACAAATGGGTTCACTTTCAATATATGTATGTTTTGATGCACCGTATAATTTAAAGCATAATTAGCCATGCTATCTTCTTATCTATGACACTTACATGTTAAATACAGCATCCTGTAGTAATGCATGCCCTAAAAATCATTATAAAAATATTTTCTTAAAGCACTTTAAATAATTTACAAAATTCTACAAAAAAAAAAATTAAACATTTATCCATGATACACCTGTTAAATAGGATTTTTCACATTAGTGTACACATGATATATATCAGTATCTTCCATCTTTTTCCTTTTATTCTCATGTTTTATCAAGATATTTACAATGATAGGTATTTTCTAAAGACTGAATATTGTTATAAAAAAAAGTACTTACAAATCTGACACCTCGCTTTTCACCAGGGAACTTGTGCATTCCTCTACAGCTAGGTCACTAAATTCTGCTGAACTTCTGTCTAAAGTTTCCTGAACATGGTCCTCTTTACAATCAGCTTCTCTACTTTGCTGGGCTAACATTTTCCCTTCCAAACTAGAGTTGGGTACATTAATTTCTTCCTGCCTGCTGCTGTCTTGCTGGCTCTCTCCTTCCTCTTCCTTAGTGTACGTGTTTTGGCTCTCAAAAATAAATGTTCCTACGCTAACTCTGTCACCATTTACTGCTGTCATGATGGGTTCCTGCAATTGGGGATCTGGATTTGAATCTGAGCTGCAATACATCTGTTTGTCTCCCAAGGTGTTATCCTTTCTGTAATCATCTGCTTCAGTTTTAACATGCAAAGGAGCAGCCTCCAGTTTTTCACAGGTTTCTGCTATACGGAGACTTGTCTCCTCTATTATGAGGCTCTGAGTAAAATTGGCTTCTTTTATTCCCGTCTTTCCCTCTCCACCAAGGTCCCCATTTTGCACCAAGGCTCCACTTTTTTGTTCAAGTGCACAAACATTCGGGAGAGCTACCTCAGTCCTTAATGTGCTGCTATGGGGAAGTGAAAGTTCTACATTTTGCCTTTTGTTTAAAAGCACAGATTTCTTTCTATCGCGAGCATACTTTAGACCAGCTATAAATTTGCTTGAAATTTTTAACTGAAAGGTGCTATTTCTTTTGGAATTAGACTTAGCATTAAAGTATTTTTGCAATTTACACCCATCACCTTTGCTGTGTGTAGATGAAAGGCTTTTCTGCTTAGGCTCTATAGTACTCTTTTTACTTAATGAATTTCCTTTTACAGACAAAGCACCAGCAGCTAAACCTTTAGTCCATACTGTCCCTTGCTCAGCCTTCAACTCTAGAGTAGTATGGAGGTACACGTTCTCTGCGTAGGATGCACTTTTCCCACCATCATGCATTACTGCACTTTCTCCTACAGTTCTCCGAGAGCTTTTCAATTCATCTGTTTGATGAGATACCTTTTTAGTTTTTTTACTCTGACCTGATAACATGTTAGTCTCATTTTCAATTAGCTGATGCTTTGCTTTTCCTTTATTTGCACGTGGTTTGGTAACTCTCAATGAGTCAGCAGTTAAGTTATCCCTCCGTATTTCCATACTGCTTGCAGAGTCTTTAGCCTTTTCTGCCAAAAATTTCCTAATTTCTTGTTCGATGCTGTCGTCGCTATCCACAGAGCTGCTGTCATCTGTTGCTGAAGTAGCAGTCAAAGAACATCTTTTATTTTTAGCTGCCTCCAGGTTATTCTCGTTGCAAACTGGTTTAGGTTTACATTCTTCTTTAAACTGCAAGGCAAACGGTAAGTCCTTTATGCTTTCTGTTCTTCCCTTTGAGAGCCTGCCATTTACATTGTTCTGGGGGCTTCTAACTGTATTTTCCTTAGTATCTTTACGTGATTTTGAGAGGCAGCTTTTTAGCAGAATAGAACTTTGGCATTTCCAGTCCTTTTGCTGGAGGCTACTGAGTTCATCCAAAAGCTGGGTTTCTGTGTCACCAAATCTGACTTTCTTCTTGCATTGGATTTTTTGGTCTTTGGACTTTTTCTTTAGTTTCCTCTTGGACCTTAAGAGGTCTTTGATAGCGCTATCCAGATCTTCATCACTGTCCAGAGAACTGCTCTTGTCATCTGTACCATCTCTCTCTTGAGCCTGGACTGTATTTTTTATCAGTTCTCTTGTGTTACTCTGAACCTGCATCAAGCTGTTTGCGAAGTCTAAAGCTACGTGCTTGTCAACAAGCCCAGTAAATTCTGTAGAGATCTGCTGCTGACTTGTTTCTTTGTTACCAGACCTTCCAGCTTCACAAGCTTTTCTATGACAGCTCAGGCCACTCCCATCTTGCAAAACTGGCATTTTGGCGCTATTACCATAACCTGCATGGGTACACCCCATCTCCATCCCTTCTGTTTTATTGTCTATGCTCTGTTTTGCTACTTTGCTTTCTCCTTTAAGTCTCCTTTTACGACTCAACGATAAATTCAGTGTTTTGGGGAGGGAAGGTTCAACGCCACCAGTTACACTGTTACGCTCAGAAGACAAAGGCCTCTGCACAGAGTGGGACAAATTATCAGGTTTTGTTACAAGCCTTTCTGACTGTGCCTTGAGAGCCAAAAAAGCCCTGATTTCTTGCTCTATGCTATCATCGCTATCCACAGGGCTGCTGTCACTTTCACAGTGGGAGGACGGCATGCTTTGGGGATAGAAGAAAGGGTTTGCTGCAAATGATTTGTCCTCACTTCCCATTTGGGGTGGCATGATTGTTTTGGAAATGTCAAGGATGGCTTCCGCACACATCAGTTCTGCAGACGTGTCTGCCCTGCAAGAAGCCTGCAACGTGAGCTCGCATTTGGCAATTTTGTTTACTGGAGATGCACAACTTCTGGCTTTTTTCAACGGCTTAAACAGTTTGTTAAATTCATTGCCAGTGCCTTTAAATTGTGTAGATTTTGTACTCATCTCTCTCCTTTTGCTGCTTAAGGGTTTTTTATGGTCTTCTGCCGATGCACATTTTGTTGAGCTAATTGTTAGGCTTGCCGAAATGTCTGCCACACCTTTTTGCAAGTCTGTTGTAGGGTTTGCCTCTTTCTTGATTTTCTCCAGCTGATAAAGCTGAATGGCTTCTTCGATACCATCATCGCTACTTGAATCAGATAAGTGTGTGCTTTCAATTATTTGTTCCCCTTCGGTTTTGCAGAAATTTCTCTTGCCTTCACCTTCTTTATTTTGCTCAACAACCCAGGGTTGGCTAGTAGCAGTCATTTTAAAATGTGCCTGGTTTCCTCTACTGAAGTCACTAGGCTCTTCACTGATTTTAGACTTCAAACATTTAGATTGTACATTGGTCTTCCTTAGTTTGGGCTGGTGCCTTAAGAGGAGTGCTTTGCATCCTTGCTTTAAAGTACTGCGATTTGCTTTGGTAGCTGATTCTTTGTTACATTTAAACATAGATTTCACTTGAGTTTCTCTCTGTTCTAGGTTTTTATCCTCCACAATTACACACTTATTAGTTTCTTGCTGTTTCTTTTCATTCAAGAACTGTACAATTTCAGCATGTATGCTCTGTTCAAAAGAGTCATCACTACTGATGCTCAGAGGTGAAGCAGACCGTAGCTTTTCACAAATTCCCACGTGGTCAGAAATGAAGCCTTCAGTCACCATTTCAGCTTTAAATTTCATAGGGAGTAGATTTCTAGTCACCTTGTTCTGTGAGAGTTCCCTTTTGACCCTCTTGTCTCCATCTGTTCTATCTGAACACTCTGCATTGCTTGGCAATGGCTGGATACTCTTGCTTTTCTTTTTCAAGTACTCTTGAATGGCTTCCTCTATGTCTCGATCAACAGAATCGTCACTATCAGACTGCAACAGGAGGGTCCCAAACTCTGAACTGTCTTCCACTTCTGTGCCATCAGAATCAGCAGGGCAACCTCGCTTGGAATATTTAGTGTGCTGTTGTGTAGATGTAAGTCTGTTACCCCTTTTTTCTCCCTTTCGTTTTTTCTGTGTAATACAGTCGTAATCATTGTTCATACCCAGGGAAGACTCTTGACTTTGCAGGTTGTTTATGATCATCTGAACTTTTGCACTTACAGATGCTCTAGTAACATCCTCTTCAGATTCAGAGAAGCAAACAGGGTATCTACAGCTCCTTGATTGTCCAAAGGACTCCCATTTTGTCTGCAGAGCTATCAAAGGAGAGGCATTCATAAGAAACATTCTAGCAGGCAATGAAGAAGTCCGCAAAAGAACTGTTTTTCAGGTTGGTCTCTCGTCCATCCTAAGGGAAAAGAAAAAACAGTTTAACACCATTTTAAAAGCAGCCCAGGTCATTGCTCAAATCCCACCAGTCTAGGCAGAGTCACCCCGATTTGCCTTACATGATTTCCCATCCCGGAAAGCCCAACGGAGCTAATGCTTTTGCTGCTCCTTCATCCTTTGGCTCCCTGCCACAATGTTCTGGTATAAAAACATTCTCACTCAAGCCTTTGGCTCTAAATATCGATTCTTGATTCCCCCCCCCCCCCCCCGTGATAATTAGTTTTAGAGCATTGCTCTTGTTGTATCATTTAATTTTTAAGGGTATTGATTAAGAATGTTCTTCCATTTGGTTGGTGCCCAGAGCAATCTGACACATGCCATTATAAATTCTCTCTATAGTCAAGCAAAAAAAAAAAAAAAAAAAGTTAAGGGTTTACCCCTAGTATGCACATTCTAATAAAATACAAGTATCTTTGACCTTTCAAGTGTCAAGCAATTAGGAACCACAGGTGAACTGGTGACCTAGCTAGGTGGTCATTACTTAGTAGCAGCCGAGAAGACTTTACTTGTAACATGTACTGAGGGTCACTGGTAAAGAATGTGGATGATTAAATAGTTTCCAAGTTTTCTGTGGTATAATTTACAGTATACTTCATAAAAACCCCCAAAAGCTTTCAAGCACTGGTGGTAAGTTAAACAATCATGTTATGAGAGAAATGAATTAAGAGTGAGAGAGAATCAGAACACTGGGCTAGTTACCCGAGTAATGCATTCAATACGTTTAAGCTTTTGGCTCTGTACACATCACTATTTTTCCCTATTAACCTCTTTCTTTCCAGAATAGCGAATGTCTTCATTATCTGAACATGGGATTGTTGGCATACTGAAAATTCACAGCTATCCACAGGGGATTGGGTTTAATTTTTGTGTCATGTTATCCACCCATAACGTCAGTGGGCCACTGCCAATCATTTAATAGCGGCTGCCGGAACTTAATTGCACACCACTAAATTAAAGCAATAGACTACCTATAATAACCACATTCATCATCTTTATGCACAAAGGATCCCAAAGTACTTTACAGAGAGTATACACAGCTATCAAGTCACAGAGTCTTGAAATGCAGCCACTTCTAAGGAGTTACATAGCAGCTATTTAATGTTAGACAGTAATGTACCACAGTAATTTAAGACAGCAAGTGAGGGATACTGCACCCAAATACAAGCACAGACATTTTAGGAGGTAGAATTTAGTTATCCAAGTGGAGTTTGGACAGGACATTAACGTTAGCATCCTGACTCTTGCTGGTTGGGCGTAGACCTGAAGAGGACACAGTTCTCTTCAGAGCTGAGCCACTGACTTGCCACACAACCTTCAGCAACTTGCTGTAAATGGACACAGTGATTGCAACCTACCTCGGCAAAAGGATTTGAGAACAGCAGCTGAAGAGTCCGATCACTGCAAAGTAGATGGCCCACAAACAGTGCCACGGTACCTTCAGTGCCCAAGAATGGCCAGGCACACTGAGTTTCGCCTTCCTAAAGGAGATGCCCTTATCAGGAGACATCAAAGCACTGGTCTTCCTCAGCCCCACCTCACACTGGCCTCTGCCTACCCCCTCCCCACCCCCCAGGGACCCCAACCCAGAAACACTCCTAACCAGCCCTTGGCTTCTCTGCTCAAACATCACCACCTCCACCCTCCTGGGCTGCAACCGCCAATCCCTTCCAGACACACCCTAGGCTGCCATCCCTAGGGACCCCTTCCCCCAGCCCAGCCTCAGGGATCCCAGCCTGTCACCCCCAGGGAGCCCTCGACCCCTAGCCCTGCACACCCCAGGGATGTCACCTCCAGGGACCCCAGCCCGTCACCCCCGGTACCCTGCCTTGTCACTCCCTGGGATCTCAGCATGTCACC